ATCAGCTTTAAGTGCAATAAGCTTTACATACAGACTGGAACATCATTACTTTCTAAATGAGACAGAGTTTTTTTTAAAGTACTTTTCTGTTCAAGCATTACATTTTCATCTGTGCAGTGACAAGGAGCCGCCTAAGGAGCATGAATGATGATGGTGGGGCTGAAGAAGAGCATGTCCTTGGGGCTGACTGCGTGATCAGGGTCCCTGCAGGCAGGGCAGGTTTTAGTGTCTTGTTGTGAGAAATAGGCAGATTGCTGGCCTGGGTGGTGCAGGGAGTTAGTACCAGGTCCTGCTGTGCCTGGACGCCCTGCATGGAGGAGGAGGGAGGTCTCAAGGACCAGAGTCTTTGCTTTAAGCTAAGCTTAGAAGCAGAACAGGTCCAGCAGAGACACGTAGGTTCAACCTGCAACTCCCAGGCTTGCCTCTCCCAGTGGTGGGTGCCGTGGGCACCCCAGCACAGACGAGTGCCTGCTCCAGCCCAGAGCCCTCACGTTAGGGCTCTCGATGCTGCAAGCCACCAAGCTACCACTCGGCAGCGATGAATCACAGCCGTGCCTGGAGAGGGGGTGGTTTGTGTTTGTGTTGGCAAAACCGGCTGCGAGTGGCGGCAGGCCCAGACAGCACGAGAGGCCGAATCTGGAAGGGCCCCATTGCTGAGGCAGAGATCAATGGGAGATGGGAGGTTTAACATCTCAGGGTGACGGTTCCTGCCAAGAGCCCTTCCACAATAAAACCAGCAAATCAATCCACCATCCACTGAGTAACTCCAGATGAGGATTGCTCGTTTTGCCTAATAAATATGACCAACGGTTTGCTGTTCCTTTAACAGTGGTTTAAGAAAAAAAACAACACAATTATACTTTCCTGTGCATCAGATAATTCCGTTTCCCTCCTCGCTCAGAAGGGGTCACACTAAACACTGGGTCAACACTTGGCGCAGCAGAGAAGGGCAGGGACATCCCATAGGAGCTTGGGAAGGGTAAGAAAAAGGGCAAAGAAATCATTTACAAAAAACAGCAACAGTTAAGCCAATTCCAGATCAACAGCCCTAACCGGGACCCTGGGCATCCTAGGAGGGCTTTTCAGGACTGTGGTGTTGTGTTGGATGGACACCTGTGGAACACAGGCTGGTCAGAGACCGCATGTCCCCACTGCTGGGAGCAGATCCGGGATGTTGCTTTGTGCCATCAGGGCTCAGGTTTTTCCATCTGAGATCCAGAGAAAGCTCATCCCAGCTCCCCATCCAACAGACTCAGATCAATACCTTGATCAGAAAGGGGATTTTGGGGTAGTAGCAGGGTTTATTCCAAGGCTTGAATTCATTTGGGAAGATCTTTATCACATCAGTATCTGACACGGATGAGACAAGACAAGCCGTAAATTCGGCGTTCATAATAGATTTGTTCATAGAAATGGAGAATAAGGATTATTTTATTTCTTATATTAAAGAAAAAAATGCACAAGAAAGAACAGAAAAACTATGCCCAGGGACCTTGACAAAGACCCTGATTCACAGCTGGCATTATTTGGTGGTGTTCTGGAGTACCTGGTCAGATCTTTGAGGTCAGTGGAGCTAAACTAATTTAAACCAGACGAGAAACCAGCCCTCAACGAAACTCAGGAGACATTGAGTGCATTAGTCAGGCAGGGCTTGGCTATCCCTGCTGGGACAACCGGGGTCCCCACTGCCCGCAAGCCAACCCGGGGCAGCCTGCATAGTGGTGTCCCCTCATGGATGTGCTCCTTAGGTTGGGTAACAGCATGTCTGGGATGTCCTGGCAGGGATGGGGCAGCTGTCGAGGGCTATTCAGAGACTTCACTGCCTCCTCTGACCTCAGGAGCTGCCTGCCCGCATTCACGGGGAGATTTATGGCACTGTTTTCCTCTCTCTCCTGGTTGTGTTCAAGTGGCCAAGGGACTGATCCTTCATGGGGCTGAGCACTCCCTGTTCCTGGAGCGATGGGAGTCGGAGGGGCACAGCATCTGTCCGGTTTCCATTGGATTAGGCCAGGATTTGATTCCCTAAGAGGCTTCCTAAGCAAATGTTTTGCTGAAAGCCTGATTGCTCAGTTAACACAAGTTTCCTGTGCCTCATTTATAAAGTTAGTACAGTGACCTGACAAAACCATCATTGTCATTAATGATAATTGCTTTGCCCTTTTTCCCAAGCTCCTATGGGATGTCCCTGCCCCTCTCCGCTGTGCCAAGTGCTGACCCAACATTTGAGGTGACAATACATCAAATCCAGCCATTCAAATGGCCTTTCCTTTGAGCAACCCCACTGACCTGCAACAGGGACACAAATAAATCAGCCGAGTTGCATGTCCCATGCATGTCCCATGCAACTGCTCCTTCAGCTGGGCTCATTAACCTGTCGCCCCTTGAGCTCCACCGTCCTGGCCGTCGCGCACTGAACATGGTATCTGGGTGCCGAAAGCAGAAGGCCGCGGTGGGACTTACCTGTCCCTGGAGAATATCCCTCTGGATGGAGGAGGACATAGCAAAGCAGAAGACTGCTCCGTCTGTCTGATGCAAACCAGTGTCTGATTCTTCAGAGCCCCACTCTGCTCCCCCGCAGCTGAAATGTGCCTTTGGGCAAGGAATCCTTAGTCTGGGAGGGGGAAAAAACCAAGATAGTGTTATTCCCCTCCGTGGAAGGGAGTCCCGCCTGGGGTGGGCCCACACTGGTGGGTCTCTCGCTCAGCATGGCCAAAGCGTGCAAAGAGGTGGCTTTGCGGCACCGGGAGCGGGGACAGAAGCTGCAGAGCACCATGGACCCACCAGCTCCCCACCTCTGGCCCAGTGGGATAATGGGGTAAAACAGCCCAAAAGGACCCCGAGGATGGCAGGGATTTATCCATGGCTACGTGGTGGCAATGCCATGGACTGAGGGCAAATTCCCTGCACATACAGCAGCTGTTGGTGTGAGACCCACCACTGATCGCAGCGGCTCCTCCAGTGCCCAGGATACCCGCACTCTTCAAGCCCCACATGCAGCTGGTTTCAAAGCTTATCTGTAGTCAGTTTTACAATATAAAGTGTCTTTGTTTAGTCAACAGAACCACTAATACATGTGATTTTGTTGTTAATAGAGCTGTAAGAATTTTAAGTACCTCTTGGGAATGTGTCATTTTTGGTTGGCTTTTTTAGGCATCGCAGGGTGCTGCGTTTGTCTTTGTAAACAAGTATTGAATAAAACATTTTGCGCACAGCCGCACTTTGTACAAGTGTCATGCAGGTTTCTAAAGTTTCAGAGAGAATAAATCAACTGCAAACTGCTGCCTGGCAGTTGACTTCGCTCCTTATAAATAGCTAATTTGGACAACTTCTCTCCGCACGTCATATGAAATTCAAATACTGTGCATATCATTAATGCGGTCACACAAATCAAAATTGCTAGAGCCTCTTTTATAAGCCTGGGTTGCCACAGAAATGCCACAGCCGAGGGCAGATCGGCTCCAGGTTGCTCTCCCTTCCTTTTGGAGGCAATCCTCGGGAAACACCAGCAGGTCACTGTGCTCCGCTGCCTTGCCCCAGGGGAGGAGCAGGAGCCCCATGGCCTGGGGCAGCGCCTGCACGGTGGCCCAGTTCACTGCTGGTTGTACTGGTTGGCAGCCGTCATCACTCAGGGGAGAATTAGGCCCAAGCTCAGCCGTGAAAAACAACCCTGGTTTAATGAACCCAACGGAAAAACTTTACTAAAGTAAGGGTTGACTGTGCCCGGGTCTGTTGGCTTTGCAGCGCTCAGCGCCGGGCACAGGGCAGATGCGCAACCTTCCCTCCTCCCAAAGCACAGCGCTGCTGGTCCGGCCCTGCGGAACCCCACGTGGGATGCAAACTTACCTGGTCCTCCCAGGAGGCTCTTAGCACCGTGCGGGATCCATCCAAGCTAGCCCAGAACTCAGCCCAAAGGCTCTAATCCTGGAAGGTGCTGAGCAACTCTGACTTCTGCCACTCGGCTCTGGATTTTGGCACGTGTTCAGCACGAGCAGGATCAGCCCCTTGCTGTAATAATCAGGGAACGAGGAACTCAGCTTGACTGAATTTCCCCCCCGCCCCCCAATGCAAAAATGCTGTACATTCCTTTATGCAGGTTTCCATAGAGTTGAACTTCTACTATTTTTTTGTTGCCGCTGTTAAAGGGGTCAGCAATGCACTGTACAATGGGATCTGGCTGTCAGGAAATGTGGAGGAATTCAGGGACACTTTTAACATCTTGCTGGTGGGGTTGAGGGCAGCATTAAAACCAGCATCCTGGAAATCTCCCCACCAAAGAGAAGAAAAAAGCCCGGAGGAACCCCAGGAGAAGTTACGAAGACACACTGCTTTGTCAATCCTAAGTTTAAATAAGTTATTTCTTCCCTACTTCCTTTGTTAAAATATGATATTCTAGCTTTAATTGCTTCAATCCTATTACTTGTTCCTTTTAGGCAGTGATTGTGTAGCCCCTTGCCGTGGGGAAATCCCCTGACCGCGGGTCCGTGTTATTTAGACAAGTACTCTTTCAGAAGTAAATGCCATTCTTAGCATAGGGAAGTACTTTAGGTCTAAAGGGGTTAAGAAGGCCTCCCTGCATTCAGAAACATGCAGGGGTCCCACCGTGCCAGTTCCAGCCTTTTAAACTCTTTCCAGCTTTTTTTTCTTGCAACAAATCTGTCTGACTGCCACCAGGACATAGGAAGCGTGTGCCTGTCAAAGAAATCAAGTTTACTTTTTCTGACTTGTTAACAGAGGCAGGGTATAAATAGAGCTAACTCTGCTCAGACTATTAGCATTTCTCTTAAAATAAGGGGGTAACTTCCTAGGACCTTTAATCCAATGAGGTCCAGACCAAACTGCACTATCAACAGAGGCAGCGAAGGAGCTTGCTGAAGTTTTTACAGAAGTCAGGTGCATTTGGGTTCCTCGAAAATTTAAGGCTTACCAAAAAAGAATCAACCCCAAGCAAACGAGAACTACCTCCGGCTCGGTCACTGCCATTGCCCTGGAGAAGTTCTGAGATGTTGTTGGTGCTGTTCACTCGGTGGATGTGGATCTTGCTGGGGAAGAGCAGTGTCCTCTTGCTTCTGGAGGTCTCTCTGAAAGGGAGAGCTCTACCTCCAATCCGGTATTCCCACGCTGGGATATGCCCCAATGACATGAACCCCAACCTGTGGGTAGACGCGCAGAGCACTTGCAAGAGAGAGTGTGAAGCTGATCTGGTGAGTGATGCACATTTTTATCTCTCTGTGTCGTGGGCGATGGGGTTTGTCAGCGGGTTTGTTTGCACCGCAGTCTGTTTCTGTTCCAGATAGAAAGGCGCCAGCACCGTGCAGGACTTGATGCAGACAGTGCACGCATTTAATTGACCCGTGACCTATATAAAATAGAAGAGGTTTGATGACTTATCAGTGAAGTGGGGAGGTGTGTGGCAACTGTCACTTATGCTGATGTGGGTACAGCACTCGCTCTGTTTGATCATTTTCCTTGCTTTCTTGTCAAAAGAAACGTCTGAATTTGATATTCCAGAACTCAGCATGCCTTGGGGTCAATCCATAGTATTTTAGCAGTGTCATCATGCTCTTTGTTGTTGGTGGCCATCATCAATGCTTTATATTCCTGGGAGGAATTCTGTATTAAATGGTTCGATTTAACATGTAAATTGTCAGCCTTTGCTGCACTTGAAACACAAAGCGTGCTTGGAGTGCAAAACAGGGGCATGGTTAAAATGACCAGGCAGATGTTTTCTGTGATGCTCCCAGCTCAAAATGTGCTTAGCTTACACCCCTAAAATTCATTTTTCAACCTGTCAGCACTGGCATCTGAAAATACCTGCTTGTCCTGCCTCTTACATCATGTCCAACGGCAAAGCTCCTGCAGCCCAAACCAGGCTGACAGCAACATGTACCATGCTGAAAAAAGTCATTGGGTTTATGTTCTGTAGCCAGGTTGTTTCTGCAAGGCTAAAAAGAGCGTGTGTGTGGAGGGGAATAGAGAAAAAGGCTGGCCATCAAGTAAACAAGGAGATTTGCTCAGATGGATCCCATGTGTTATGAATGAAGGTGCTGTTTTTACTTTTGCCGTTCCCAAATAAGCCCCCTTTATTTCAACTACCAGGTGCAGCAATGAATATTAAAAAACTTGCAAAAACCCAGCAGCAGCAGCAGCAGAGGACGTTGTTTTAATAATTTACTGGTCAAAAACTGAAAGCCAGAAGCCACTGGCTAAAAATATTTGCTTTGCCTTGTGGCAGGACAGAGTCCTGGGACCTTGCATGGAGTGA